ATTTACAATAATATTATAAATAATAATAATTTTATTATTTTTTATTATCATAAAAATATTTGTGAATACACATGTGTAGTTGCACTTATATCATATAAGGAATATGTATTGGTTGATCTTTTAATTAAACAATTTTATTCTTTGATAAATAAAAAGAATTTAGATATTAATTTAATAAAATTAGTCATTGAACATTTTTTTTAAATAACTAAATACTTTTTCCTTTTTAAAATAAACACTATATAATTTTGTAACATCGTTTTTATAAAATTATATATATTTTTTTAAATTATATTTACAGCTATAAAAAGACATAAGTGATTAATAATAGGTGCAAAGTTTCAAGATATTAGTTAATAATATGGTCTTCTAGAGGTTAATTACATCTATGTTTGTTGGTATATGAATGAACTATAAGAATAAATATGTTTGAATATGATTTGTTAAGATTATGCAGTTATTTTCTGAATTGATAGGATATTTTCTTTTTATTACTTAAAACAAATAATGTTTATATTATCTCTAATTTACCCTATATGTTTTTATGTGTTGTTGTTACTCAGTTATTATGGCTGTCAAATACGGTTGACAAAACGGATAAATCCAACCTAATTACACCTACCACAGATCATACATATCAATTTTACCGAAACAGTTAATAAACACAAATAAGGTGACATTTAACACCATCAAAATAACAAAAGTAAATTGCTTTAAATACATACCTTTGATTCCCAACACAATTAACTTTCCTAGAGCATAGCTATAAACAAGCCACTACCTGAATTTTAATCCAACTTTAACAATTGATTCAACATTCAAATATACATTTTTAATTATTCAACTTTCCACTTAAATAATTTTAATAGCATACAAAAGTAAATATTTCAATATTTGCACTATTTCAAAGTTGAACCCAAAAACCCTAAATCATTCTCGTACTTTTATAAATTGAGCTACATAACAGTTTTAATCCTTATTAAATCTTTAATAAAAAAAAGTATTTTAATGAAAGTTTAACCTATTTACTTCTTTTGCCAAGAGGTTCTAACGAATTCACCTACAATCCTATTTAATCATAAATTAACTTTTATGATATTAATAGAATTTCCCCAGTTTATTATACTGATTTTGAAATTATTATTATTTTCTTATTATAATATGTGTATGTATATTTTCTGGATCTTACGGTAACTGCTTTAATTCAATCAAAACTGCATA